TTCCTGCTTTTAATTTTAATGCAGGCATTGCACTACCCACCCAGGATTGCAGTCCGCGTCCTCTGCTAATTACAGCAATAGTCTTGCGTGCTGATAACGTTACGCTTTGAAATAATCACTGCGTGTGCTTCTTTCCAGATTCACCACGGCGACTCTGGTGGTATCACTGGCTTTGCTGGGCACTCAGCATGGTTGGGATGTTCTGCATCCTCCTTGCTCATGACCACTACACTGTGGACGTAGTGGTGGCTTACTACATCACTACAAGACTTTTCTGGTGGTATCACACAATGGCCAACCAGCAAGTGAGTTTCTCCCAGTCTTTGGATCCGTGTGACTCTGCTTGCCGTAGCGAGGTAGTGGGCAAATATCCACACTTTGCCTTGAGCTTTTCTGCAGGAGTAGGAGTGGACTCACCTGTGTCTTGTGGAGCATCCCTTACTTCCCCCCTCACATTGGGTTTGCAGGAAAGAAAGAGGCGTCATCGGTTGGGTTCATCTTGTGCCTTGACCGCAAAAATATCTGAAGGTCTACCCACAGGCAGGCAGGCCTCTCTGCTTCCGCTGTGTAACTTCAATTTTTTAAGTCCTTCTGAATTTGGGCCAGTTGGCCAGTTTTGTGATAGCAGAGCGAAGCATTTAGATGTGGTGGGGTTTTTTTGCCTTGGGTTTTTGTTTTTGTTGAAGCCAACTGGATTTTCCTTGTATTATGTGGCTTGTGCCCTTTAGTTAGATGACAGGTCTATTGAAGCATAGTATGAGGCCTCACTAAAGATGAACCAGTTTTTCAAAGTGTTTCCAAGTGGCAGTAAGTTCCCCTGACCAAGGAAAATGTTTTCCTTTTGGAGGGTAGTGCAGCAGAGAACAGGCTGCTCCTGTCCTAAGGAGAAGTGTCTGGGAAGGCATGAAAAACAGGATGATGAGGGAAACACTGAGAACGAGGAGCTGCTTAGGAGGAGACACAGCGCTTGATGGGAGAGGGCAAAGCATGGTTTGTAATACTCAACCAGAGAGCAGTGGTAAATGATTCAAAGGTCGAATGAAGAAGTCTAAATGAGGTCTCATGTCATTCTCGTTGTTCTTGCTTTTCTGCCAGTGAACTAGATCAATAAGAGATGAACTTACAATGCTGAGGAATGTGAGAGAAAATGAGCAAGTCTGTTATCCGTGGGAAAGACCTAGTGAGTTAAGAGAAACTTAGTCTTAGGTCTGTAACAGCAAATTGGTGTCCAGATATTTTCTGTGCAATGTGGAGAAAGGTATTTTGCTTATCTGTTGCATATGACTCCAGTTAATTCTGTTTAAGAAAGACCTAGTATGATGATAGGAAATTAGTTAATATTGTGATGGTACAGATTTTTAGATCATATCAAGGTCTTCTAGCTACCATGTCATGTTATTGCAGTGGTTTTGATGCTACTTGAAGCAATACATGACAGTCAAGCCCTGTGGTATGTTTTTACCACCAAATGCCTGATTGCAAAGAATGCAGTTTGATGTTCAGTCAGTTTGGAACCACTGTGTTTGATAGCAGTCTGTGCCCAGACTTCGTAACTCCTGTCATACAGCACCAGGCTGACTTCCACACTTTGAATTTGCTCCTGGGCTCTGTCAAAAAAAGTGCTGAGTGGCTGTGCTTCCAAGCTGGAAGCTACTGAAGTCAGGATTGCCTTGAGTACTAATGTGGACTTGCTTCAGAAAAGCCTTTTGCCTTACTGTATGGAAATGTACCTGTTTTGCTGCATGATGTGACTCAGAAGATGGCTCAACATTGCTTCCCTAAGCTGCTGAGATGTCAGGAAATGCTGATCCCTGGATCCTTACCTGAGCACGCATTTGTGTGCTAGTCTCTCCTTCCTGGTGCTGCTCCATGTGCAGAGGGCTGTGACTTTTGTCTGACCTGAAAATTAAAGCCCGCTAGGGCTAAAGTGGATTTATTTTGCATGGCAGTTTTTGACATGGAAAGAAAGCTTAGCATACAAGCCCTGTACTTGCATGTTCCAGTGGGCTGATACAATGCTTCCCTGCTCTGGTGTTGAAAACGTGCAGCAGGATAGTTGTATAACTCCCTTGGTGCCTGCCCACTCCTTGTGTCTCAGCTGTGGTTTGCTCATGGCTAGGAGAAGCAAAAGGCTGGGTGGGGGCGGTTTGAGAGCATGTGGAGGGCAGGGTAGGGTTTGTTACCTCCTCCAGATGGGTTGAAGCCTGCCTTGCTCATTCCTCTGTAGGCACCCAGCCAGGCTCCAAAACGATTCTTGAGCTACATGTAATTTCAGAGATACTTACGGCAACAGCTGTGCTTTTGGGTTGGTTTTTTTCATTCCCAAAGGAGAGGATCATTCCCAAAGAGACTGATATTTTGGGCCATTCATTCTTTTCCTATGGGACCACTGAACAGCTGAGGTCTTGGAAACGAGGGTGAGCCTCAGTTGGGAGCAACATCTGGTGTGCGCAGGGAGACTATGGAAAAGTAGCTTGGGTCTTCTTGATCTTTGTCCATGCAGATCTGTTTGGGAGGTGTTTCGAGATATCAAGGCATTTTTGGAAGCAGCTGTAAGCAAGACGCCACTGATGAACGGTAGCAAGTGATGCGCAATGAAGTCGTGCAAGTACATGACGTGCTCTTTTGTAATTCTCTTTTTTCTGATTATCTTCGTGCAGGTGCTAAAAGAAGCTTCCCAAACTAACCTCCTTGCAAGGGTCTGGTGGTACAAGCCCTTCCAGTACTTTGAAAAGAATGTCCAAGGAATTGTACCTCGCTCCTACCACTGGCCCTTCCCCTGGCCGGTGCTGCACCGGGGCAGGCAGGTGAAATACAGCCGCCTGGTGAATGACACATAACAGCGTGTCGATGGACCAAATGGGGGGGAAAGGACCTGTCCCAAGTGCTAAGAACTCCATATGAGAAGATGCCATAAAAAAATCAACCGCTCCCTAACCCTTTCTTTTAACAGTTCCCTTGACTTAACCTATTCAGTTACCTGGTAAGCACTGTGATCTTTTTTTCTCTCCAAAGGATCTGCGTTGGACAACAATAAAGAAAATTTAACTTATCATGCACTGTTATACATTTCTTGTTAATAGATTTGGGATTTACATTTACCCATCACCATGTTCCTTTGTATATGATGCGACAGCATAAATGAAAGCTTTTATATCATAAGTTCTGGTCTTTCCAGTCATGTCTGGGAATAAAGCATATTATTTTCTTGGGAAAACATACTTTTCATATCTCTTGCCCCAAAGATTGGGCTGTAAGCCATTTTCTAGCAAATGACTATGTGAAGGTTTCTAAATACCTGCCTTGGGTAAAATCGAGAAATCTTTCTACCTGTTGCACCACGCTACAAATAAGATGATAGACACAGGAAGGTTTGGTAATCTTGATTTTGTAGAATCTGCAGTGACTGTGTCAAAAAGTGCAAAAAAAAAAAAGAAAAAAAAAAGAAGAAAAAAAAGTTGTAAAGTGATTTTCTAAGTATTTCCTAACTTTATTTTTCAAAATGTGTATGAAGATTAAATTTAAAAAGATTTTTACATGTCAGAGAATAGAGAGTTAAAATTTAAAGAAAATGCTTCTTGGGAGAGAGAGATTTGTCTATGTTTCTAGTGCCTTTCTTGTCTTGATTGTATGGTCAGTAGGCAGTCTTAAATGTTTTTATTTAAAATTAAGTATTCCATGAAAGCAGAATTATATATACTGTATAATTACTAATTTTTGCATTTATAGCTAAATCAAACTGGAAATTTGCTTATAATGTTGAAATTGCCATGTGTAGGAAAAAAAAACCAAATAAAAAGGGTCCGATCTTGCTCACACATTGTGGGCAGGTCAAACTAAAAAGTATCACTTTATTGTCTACTTGGTAGCTGTATTTTAAAAAGAAAAACAGCCATGAATTCCTGTTTTTTAAGAATTTTACAAATGATCACTGAGTGAACTATGAAGGGTTTCTCCATCCCGTATTGAAATGTTGTTGAAAAACAACAAAGATAATCTATTTCTTTAAAATATTTGTGCAGAAACTGCATGTAATTATAAGTTTCACTCCTACCATACATACTGTATGTTTGGGGAAGTATTCTATCCTAAACTTGCCAATGTGCAGAACAAAATAGTTTTTTTTAAAGAATGAAGAAGAGAAAATATATATATAAATATATATATATCCATTCTGTATTTTACGTGAAGCAGAGTTATCTTCTGTAGGGTTTTTGTGTATTCACAAGGTGATATTTGTATTGTAAAACAACAACGGTGAAGGAAAATAAAAAGGCTTTTGAAAAATGTAGTTTCCTTTATCTTTTTAATATTAAGTTTAAATTTAAAGCTGGGTTTATTCTTCCAAACCTTGCCTTTAATTTTATGTGTTATTGCACTGTAGGCCATCAAATTTGGACTGTATGGAAACTGCATTGATTTCGAATTGCTGTTCGTGTTGGGCAAAACAGTGCCTTATCTGAAATAAATGCTATGCAATAGATTCTGATCGTGCGGGAGCCAGGAGCGGATGGGAGAAGCCTTCCTGGGAGCCATCACCAGGGCTTGAAAAATCTACCCCAAAACTGCTGGGACGGAGCGCATTGCAGGGTAAACATCCATGACCCCAGGATCTATCAGTCCTGTCACTTTAACGACAAAAAAAAAAAGTGAAATTTCTGTGAGTATGTGGTGGTGAAAGTGTAATTTCTTTCTTCTTTTCTTTTTTTTTCGGGATGGTTTATCTCTACTTCTCTGCCCTGTTCCTCAGCCTTGGCCAAAAACTTCCTTGAAGAATTGATGGGGTGTTACTTCTGCTGCTTTGCCTCGCTGTTGCTTGGGATGCTAAACAAGACTAACCCGTTTCTTACCAGTTCTCTTTCTCCCTGGGAGGGAGGGGATTCTTCACGCCCCATGCTTCTTGGCAAAACCCTTTGCAACAGCATTTGCAGAGCTGCCTGTGAATTTTAGGAATCAGCTCTGCATGCTTTACATGCATTCAATTCACGGTATTATCTTTGCGACTATGTGGTTGAAAGCTGATTTTTACAAAAAGCAACCCCCCCCCCCCCCCCGAGATGATTGCTTGAGAGAATTCACGCTCCCAGATGTAAATGAACGAGTAGATTTTTCAAGACCTGGCATCATGCACATCAAAACCATTGACATAAGTAAATGTATGGATATATGCACATGACATTAAATGGAATCTGCTGAATTCTGCATTGTAGTGTCTGACTTACTGCATGGATCTTGCTGAACATGGTTTCATTTTTTTCACAGCAGAGCTGTGCTTTGGCAAAGCATGCTGTCTTGAGAAGTAAGTCTGGGCAAGCAGGGACATGGAGCTCAGCAGTGTGGCGTTGCTCTGGGTGCTGCCTAGTCTGGAGGAGGGGACCAAGGGAATAGATAAAGGACAAAATTGTTGTGCATCAGTGTTAACTCTAGACTGTGGTGCTTGTGCTGCCGTGTTCTCCTTCCCTGTGAGTATCTGCTTGGCAGCACCGGCTTTTTAAGATGGGTGATGGCTTGTGATGGCACTAACGCTGCGGGGATCGGTGCGTGGAGTACAACCACTCATTGTTTAGCATTGTGCTAATGATTGGGGATCCTACATTTCCCACCATCGAGCACTTCAGCTGCATTTCCCCCACACCACTCAGGTATGGCAACATCTACGGTGATTCTTCGGCCTTCGCTTTCTGGAGAAGCGTAGCCAAGGAGTGAGAGTGGTCTCCTGGAGACTTTGAACACCCATGCTTGCCTTTTGAACTTTGTATTTCTGGGGTGAGATCCTTGGGCAACTTTGAGGGGCAATCCTATTCCCAACTAGGGGCTGAACCACCACGTACATCATCCTCCTGCCCTGGAGCATTGGTGCATGGGTGCACTGTGTGCATCTACCTTGGGTAGTGAAGCTTGTGCTGCTCGGGCGCACGTGGACCTTTACCATTGGTCCCCATCAGAGAGGTGAGCACAGCAAACTCATGCCAGTGTGGAGCAAGAAGTCAGTAAAAGAGCTGAAACCTGGTGGTGTGCTGCCTTGATGGAAGCAAACGGAGCTAAGGGCTCTTCCCACATTGTGCCAGTAAAACCATCTTCTCTTGACTTGTAATTGAACATGGAGTTGTTTAGTTTGAGGGCATGTGTAGGAGGACAGACAGGAGCCTGGTTTGTGTGTCGAGAGGTAAACCTTAACATGTTGTCCAGTGCAGGTTCCAGGAGGCTGAAATTTGAACGAGGGATCTCCATCAGAAAAGGCTGGAAAAGGACAGCTTAAGGTGGAGAAGGACCTGGCAATTGTCTGAGTCCTGGACAAACAGAAACCAAGGTCTTTGCCAGGAGGGTGGACTTTGATGGCTGAGATCCGTCTCGATTTAGTTTTTAGTCCTTCCAGGTGGGGAAAGTTTTAAAACCCTTAAAATACAGGGATAGGAGGTTTTTGAGGAGCACAAGCCAAGCAAGGGCGCAATGATCCCTTTGCTTTTCTGTACTCTGAAAAGAGCAATTAACCCCCATCAACCTCCCCCCTCCTGCTTTTATTCAGGGGGCAGCTCAGTAGCTTATCCTTCTTCTGGTGCTGGGGTATCAGTGCACTCCCCGAAGACAAGCCACCACGAGTTCCTGTTTTGGCAACTTTTTTCCCATCCAATTCAGCAGATATTGGCAGCAAATATTTGCCAGAAGGATTTATGGCTTCTTTATGACCACTTGATAAGGACTCCTTGCACAGCCAGGCAATGAACCCTTTGCGTCATGCAGCATGGTGTTCCCATGCATCTCCTCTGTAACCTGGCAGGAATACACGTTCCTTGTAGAAAATTAACATCTATTTTCCAGCACTGGTGCATCCTTAATGTCATTTCTGCCACTGGTTATCTGTGTGTGCTGTAGGCTTGGCAGGGAATGCTGGTGAGCACCAGGATTTGGGCACGAGACCCTCTGCACATCCATTCTGCAGCCTTGTTTAAATAAATAAGGACATCTCTAGCGAGGTTTGGGAGTAGGTGGGAATCGCCCGACTTGACTGCAGGCGGTTTTCAGCAGCATCATCTCAGCCCTGGTGGTTACTCTTGCTGGCAGACGGTTGGCGTGTAGGCACGGGTGGGCACACAGTTCATTTTCTGCCCAGTTTTTGCCCAGAAAAAGCCAGCAGGAGTTAGCTTGGGAAGGATTTGCCCAATTCTGCATTGTTGTTTCTCAGTCTCCAGGCACAGAGGGTAAGAAGGGTTTCCCAGTCTTGTGCCAGAGCTCTTCTGCTTTGCACGTGCTGCTTGAGCCTTCCTCAGAGCAATGCTTTCCCTGTGCTCTCCCGCATCCCAGGTAAGGGCCGTGCCCATGGGGCTGCTGCTGTGTGTGTTTGAGCAAAACATCCATCCAAGGCCCAGGAGCAACTCCAATAAACGCTGTTTTGGGTACAAATGAAGATGTTGTCACTAAAGTGTTTGTTTTCCAACAAATGCTTCCAAATGCATCTAGCCGCCTTGCGATCTTGTTGCAGGTTAGTGAAGGGGGAATGGGTTAGCTTGGGGGAATGCGCTTCGGCCAGGAGACGATGGGCTGAAGCCAAAAATGGCTGCTGTAGGGTTTATCCTGATGTCTCCTACACTCCTAAGCTCTGAAAGTGCTGCCAGCTTAGACTTTGAAATCTCTTAACCAGTTTTGCTCTCAAAAGACCTCTGTCAAAACAAGGATGTCTTCCTTGATCACCCCTCTCTGATGACAGGGATTATCCTCCAGGTAGTGCCATGGGGTCCGGTTGCTCTGGAGTTGGTCCCATCCCCTTTAACATGATGGGGATAACTTGCTGCAAGAGCTTTCCCGCAGGGTACCTTCACCCGCTGGAAGTGTCAAAGCAATTCATCCAAGCCCCACTTTTGCCCACTGTTGTGGTTTAACTCCAGTTGACAACTAAGCACCACACAGCCACTCGTTCACTCCCCCCGCAGTGGGGTGGGGTGAGATAAGAACAGTTTAATACTTGAAATATAATAATAATAATAATAAAAATAATAAATTGTAACGAAAAGAGAGAGAGGGGAACAAAACCCAGGGGAAAAAAAAATCAAGTGATGCAACTGCTCACCACCTGCCAACTGACACCCAGCCAGTCCCTGAGCAGCGGTTGCTGCTCCCTGGCAACTCCCCCAGCTTATATACTGAGCATGACGTCACATGGTATGGAATATCCCTTTGGCCAGTTTGGGTCAGCTGTCCTGGCTGTGCCCCCTCCCAGCTTCTTGTGCACCTCCTCACGGGCTTGGCATGAGAAAAGTCCTTGACTTAGTATAAAGACTGCTTAGCAACAACTAAAACATCGGTGTGTTATCATCAACATTATTCTCATCCTAAATCCAAAACACAGCACTGTACCAGCTACTAGGAAGAAAATTAACTCTACCCCAGCTGAAACCAGGACACCCACGTAATGCTTTAACGCATCTCCATCCCCGGGCTTTGCAAAGCAGCCGCAGAGCCAAAGGGTCTCTCCTTTGGACCTATTTATGATGCTCTGGGTGACTTTTGGCTGATGTACTCCCTAACTCGACTAATAATTGCTTCCGCTTGGGCTTAACTGCTGGTTGCCTGTGGCTGCAGCACACACCAATCACAGCATAGTGTTATCATAACTGCTGATTTTCATTTTCCCTGGGAGAAAGATACACTGCCAGACAAGTTATTTGAGCAACCCTTTGTTCCAGGTTAATCTTGGTTCATCTCAGCTTCTTGCAGGCGGAGCAGGTTGGGCACAATGAGTCTGAGTGCAGAACAGGGATTTGTATTCACCACCCGGCAGGGTGGTTTTGGCTCAGGCAGCCCTCTGCTGGGTCAGCCAGCCTTGGCTTTCCCTCCAAGGTAATTTTTTTTTCTTTTCCACTTAATATTTTATATGCTTAAAGGAAAGCGGAGTGGGCAAGGAGCTCAGGATGTTATCTGTTTCTCTGCACTGATGTCTCCCCCTTGGCTAGAAGATGCAGCTCCGTACCTTCCAGCAGTGGGAGATACTCTGGTTTATAATTTTTTAGCCCTTGAGTGTACTTCCACGCATTGCCTGCATTTTGACAAAGTGATTGAAACATACCTTCCCATTTCATCTGGCAGCCAGATTACTTTTTTTTTGGTTAAATCTGAAATTACCTTTTTGGCAGAGATTTTGATACTTGCTCCAGTGCCCTCCTTGTCATTTGGTTTGTGCTGCTGTTCAGGAAAATGAAAATGTGACGCTTTTCCACGTCTGTTCATTTCTACCCCCTGTTCATCCCATGGAAGGGACGACCTGCCTGTGCCTTGTCACGTGACCTCTTCAT